CTAGCCCTCTCCGTGGATCACCTGAGAGCCTCTGGAACGGTCTCGGCACTCGCCCTTGAACGTCTCGATCCACTTCTGCGCAGCCTCTGGACTGCTGATGTCCTGCAAGCTAAGCTTGGCAAGAGGTCCATGCGCTGTAGCCATCACCCGCAGCTGCTCGATCTCCTTGGCCTGGCGATCCGACAGAACACCTCCGTGCTTGATCATCCTCGTGACCAGGTCTTCTTTGATCCCTGACACGGCCAGGCTCTTGGCCTTCAAGACAGCTCGCAGCTCAGCCACAAGAAACGTGTTTAAGAGCTTGTGCCTTGCACCTTTGTCCTGCTGTGCACACACGGTCTTGAACTCGACGTCAGCCCGCGCAGATGGTGGGCAAGTGCTTCCAGAGGCGGGGCTAACCGCACCCTGGAGGAAGAACTTGTCGTAGAAGTTCTTGAAGTAGCAACCACACCAGCACCCCAATAAGAAAGTACTCGCTGCAGTCACCATAACAAGTCCCAACATCAAGTAGAACCTGAACTCCTCGCTCTCCACATAGTGGCTGACAGGCGCGGGGCAAACCGCAACCTCGTCAGATCCTCCGTACACTGTCACCTTCTCGCCTGACGCCTTCGTCACGACCTCCGTGAAAACTGCCATTGCGCTCAAGCCCGTCATCTGCTTTCCGAACCTGAGGTTGAGAGTGGTGCAATGCTTCTCGATTGTCGGCCACTCGCTGTACTTCGTGAGCATGTCGGCTGTCATCTTGCTGGTGTCCTCCTTGTGAAGCTCGAACGCCTTGAGACGCAACCGCTCCTGAATCCACAAGTACCTCAGCTCCAGATGCCTGACCTTGCCCACCCCAACTCGGCTGCACATGCCACGTCCAGCTGTGCTGTCACTATAGATCTTCAGGTTGCAGGGCCTCTGGGTCTCGATCAGGTAAGTCTTACACTGAAGTCCTCTGGCTGTCGCACTTCCCGTAGCATACATCTCGGATTCCCCTGAACTTAGGGCTATCGTACTCTGCGTCACTGAGTAGCAGTCCCAAGTGTGGTCGCCATACCTCACAGCTCCTCCACTGGTAGATCGCCGCTGTAGTTCACTCGTAGGTGCCCAATCCGCATCACCATCTACACGAATGCCTTCAGGAGTACCTTGAAGTGGGTAACACCAGACCAAAACAGGCTGTCCTTCGTAGTACCTTCCAAGTCGCTGAACACGCGCATGCATCAAGACGTTCGGGTTGGAGACGTGCTGCATCGCTGTCTTGCTGGCGTACATCGTGTCGGGCCTGTCCGAAGAAAGGTAAAGAGCGGTGCCTGCTGCACCCGCCACTTCTCGAGCACGATCCTTGGAAAGAAGGTCTAGGCTGTCTCGTCGGCCTTGTCCTGTAGCTTTCGTTCCTGGAGTGGGAGCTGGTTTACAACCTCGCTTCTGCGTCCACTTGATCATGAAGTCCACATGCTTGGGATCGGCAGTCCAGAAGAAACCTGGCTCCTCGCAACCTGGCAACTTGTCGGTGTAGCCGATCGTCCTCTTGAGGTATGTAGTCTGCCCCACCGCTCCTGGTCCAAGTCTGGCGCTGGCCGTGACCTCAAACTGCTGCTTCAACAACTCGTCCAGCTCGTCCAGCTGCTCGTCGTAGCCTTCAGCAAGAAAGTCATCGCCATGGCAGATCGCTGTGCTATCCTCGTCGAAGGGGGCTGTGTTGGGGCTAGCAGGTAAGTAGAACACGTTAGGAGTTCCAACCAAGCATTCCCAATGGCCGTCGTCCATAGTAGTTCTCACAAGCTCACCCCACATCTGCGACGCCTTCCTGGTACCGTTCATGGCCTTGCGTAACCACCAGCACCTTCCAGGCGGACACAGCTCTCTCCCAGGATGCACGTAGATCGTCTCGTCTAAGTCAGCGTTGAAGAAAGCCTTCCTGACGTCCCAGACTTGTATCTTCCGCAGGTGCTGCCCGCTGGAAGTTGGACTTGAAGCGGCACGGCTCAGCGTCGCTCTGACAATCATGAGCGGGGGCGTGCCTTGGTGGTTGTCCTCCCTGACCTCGTACTTGTTCACCTCGGTTGCTACGAACCTCCACCTGACCTTTCCTTCTTTCATGTGGGCTATCGGGAAACCTCCAATGTGCTTGCCGTCAGTCGCCGTCGATGTCGCCACTTCCACGTAGACCCCGTAGTCTTTCATGGCCTGCAGCTCGTCGTCGCGACCCTTCTGATACAGGTCCTCATCCAGAGGCTCTCCAGTATAGTAATCGTAGTGTATCGTCTTTGGGCTCCACTGGTCTTTCTCATGCAGCTCGGCGCTCACCTCAACCATCTGCTCCACCTGCTGATCCTCAGGATCTCCGAAGTGGCTCCTGATTGTGCCGATGTGGCTCATCAAACATCTCCTGCATGCACACTCAGCTTGGTGGCATTCTCGTAGCTGGCATCGTGACGAGTGCTTCTCACACCTCTCGGAACATCTCGCACTGCGCTTTGGGTGTGGATCCCACATGGGGTCGAAGCTCTCGTCGTAGCCCTCCTCGCAGACTGCCAACTCACAGACAGAGAGATGCCCAATGCTTGCTACCCTGGGCTTCTTGACCTCAGCTCCTTCACGAACTTCACCTGGGGCACTTCGCCGAAAGTCGCTCCTGAGCTCGCCACTCTCCGTGTCCATGGCTGTCTGCACCTCAGCCTCTCCTGGGCCAGGGACCATAGCTACGTCGCTGGCAGCAGGTGCGGGGCTCACCGCAACCTCACTGCTGCTTGATGCCGCTGCTCCTCCTGGTGCGGCTCCAGGCGCGGGGCTACCCGCAGCCGGTGCTGGCACCACGACTGTAGCCTCAGGGGCCACAGGGTCCTTTGCCAACTTCTCGCGCAGCAAGTCGGCCTGAATGGTCTCGAAACGCTGTCGGCAGGCTGCCGAATGCGAACCGTATCCTGTACTGCACTTCCTGCACTCGTCAGTAGGACCATGAGCATCGATCATGCGCTCCGTGATGTACATGCTGCGTCCGATCGTTCCTGAACTCTTGTCGGGCGTCTGCTTCCAGGGCGTCACCCTGATGTGCTGGATGAGCTCGGGCTGCCATCTGAACTCCTCAGGCATCCTTCGCACCGTTCTGACCTTCTGCACTCCACGTTCAGGATCGATCACGAGATGTGTATCGTCCAGCTCACTCTTACCAACCCAGATTCCTTTTGCGAAGCGGGCTTCCCATTTGCCACGTCCCGCGGCAACTCTGGCTGAGATCCGATACCAGACCTGCTCACCCATCTCCGCAATCTCGCCGTTGTACTCTTTGCCGTAGAGCATCTTGTAGGAGGAACCTCCGTGACTGCGAGGCTGGAATCTGGTAATCATCCACCCCACTGAGTTCACAAGCCATGGCACGATCGGATCCGTCATCTTGATCTCACAGCCCAGCTTGTGCTCCAGCTTCAGCTTGTAGGCTCGAAGTAGACCAGCTGCTAGCTTGTTAGCTCCTTCAGCGTAGCCTGCACTTTGCTTGGAAAAGGGCGGTGATCCCCGCACCAAGGTTGAGTGTGATCTGCGATCTCGAACTGCCTGCGCCAGAGCCATGGTGGCAGGCTCCTGGTCTGTCTGAAGTATGACTGTTGTGTGGCCCCAAGCTTCCAGCACGCCTAGCAGGAAGGACACCTTGTAGTCATCCGTCTCCTTGTTCGCGTACAACGTCGCCTGAGCCAAGATCTTACAGTCGATAACATTCAAGACAGAGACCGCTTGGTCTAGCTCGGCCTTCGTGACCGACATCTTCTCCCTGATGCTGAAGTAACCTCCTTTAAGCTTGTACTTCGCAGCCAGCTGGTCCGTCCCTACGTAAAAGATGTCGAACATGACCTTCGGGATCTTGTTCTCATCAGCTGGTTCCTGAGCGTGGTGTGGGTCATCGTCTGCTCGAGCCTGCACGCAGATGGGACACCAAGGCCGAAAAGGTAGATGATGCCCTTCGTGCGCGGCTCTCTCCGCAGCACTAGGTTGGTGAGGAGTCTTCAACACTCTCGTTGGCACAGTTGTGGTCTCATCAGCTTCAGGACCTAGAACCTTCGGCAAAGATCCAGCTTCCTGTTCAGCTGGTACCTTCCTCGGTAGCGTCTTTCGGACCGCAGCTACCTTTGAAGCTTCTGGTTGAGTCTGGCCGTCGATGATGTGATCGTACTCTAAGTAGTAGTTGCCTTGGTGACGCCGTAGAGGTACGAACTCAGCTCCGTCAGGTGGCTCGACGGTACCGTTGATGATCCAGTGACCTGCAGGGCTATGAAGAACACTCTGACCACGTTGTACTACAGCATCTGTAGCCACAACTGGGTACTCCACATCGGCAACCTCTGCACCGACTTGAATAACCTCTCCTCCTCGGGATAGGTTCAGCTCCACGTGGCCGTACCTCTCGATCTCCTCGCCTCCTATGCCCTTCAAGCCGACAACGTTGCTGTCCGTCGGCGTGTAGTTATGCTTGGTCACCTGTGATCTCGGTATCGCACTGATCTGCGCACCTGAGTCGAGCATGATCGCATTCCGAAGCGGGGCTAACCGCAATCGGTCATCTGCAGGGCTCTGATCTTCATCCACGGGCCGAAGACCAGCGACGGTGACATGCCTGGGGCCGGCCAGCGCGGGGCTCACCGCAGCTGGCACATCGCAGCACTTACTGATAGTCTTTCTTGTGCTTCTTTGGTCTTGGCTTCTCGTTGTCGTCTGGCTCTTCCTCGTCCTTGAACCAGTTGTCCAGGCAGTACTCGGCACACGCGGCACAGTAGTCCAGCTTCCACTGATCGAAGTGCCATCGCCATCCTTCAAAGGTCTTCTTGCAAGAGCAGCAGACATATTGGTGGTAGCTAGGCAAGCAGTACTTCCAGTCGATCGTGTGGCTGCGCTTCTTGAGACCTCTGCCCTCAGGGCCAGAATCATCTTCGCTTGCAGCGCGCAGTTGACTGGGCGCAGCACCTGCTGAGTCATCGCGCTGTCGGCGCTTCCTTGACTTCCCAACATCTGTTGTGTAGGTGCTGTCGAACTTGTTCCTGTGCCCACTCCTGCCTGTCGTAACCTTTCGAGCTCCCTGACTGCCGCTGCCCCGATCTTCTTCTTTTCTTTTCCCTTCTCTTTTCGGAGCTGCTTCTTGTCCTTCTTGTCCTTCTCGGATGTATTCTTCTCGTCGGCGATCCGCTTTCGGCAGTTTGCGCTGCGGTGGCCCTTCTTGTGACAGTAGTGGCACTCGATCTCGGCGTCGGGATTCGGTGGCCTCTCCTTGCCCTTGCCGTCTTTCCCTTTGCCGCGGCCTTTCCACGGTCTCTTTCCGCCCTTCAGCGCGCCTATCTCCATCGGGTCGTCCTGAACCGCTCGCTCTGCCATCAACGCCGACACCACCTCGGCTCTCAGGAGCTCGTACGTACTTAGCCGACTGCTGTTCCGAAACACGTGCTTCTGCAGCTCGTCGTGATCCTTCAGCGCCTTTGTAAGGATGCCTCGCTTGATCAGGTCCGAGACTGGTTCTCCTGCCATCTTCTGGTACCTTGTCATGTCCTCGTCCAGCTTGCTGATGCTCACCATCACGTCTTCTTTGGCGTCGAACTTCGTGTCCGTGAGCTTGGTCCACATCGCCAGCACGTTTCCTGCCTCGCTCGGGTTGTACTCCTTCTGAAGTTTCCTCCAACACTCGGCTCCTTCTCCTACTGGGCTGTTCCTCACGATCAGCTCGCCTACTGAGTCCTCGGGCATCGCCAGGACCAGGCCGTAGTACAACTGCGTGCTTAGCTCTTCCTCCTGCGCGTCCAGGTTGACGTTGTCCACCTCCTGGGCTCCGTCCTCGCACCTTTCCAGAAGATCTCGGTACCTTCGATCCTGGGCGATCAGGTACGCTCTGTACTGGAAACTGAACGTCTTCCAACTCGCCCTGTGGCCGTCGAACGGCTTCACCTTGTGAAGAATCTTCGGATCCATCATCTCGCCGCGCGGGGCTACCCGCTGCTGCTGAGCCTGTTGCTGAGCTTGAAGCTGACCTCGCATCTCTGCGATCGTCACGTCTCTGTTCTGAAGTTCCTGTCTCATGTTCTGACTCTCCGTCGTCAGCCTCTGAACTTGATCGACCAGTTGCTGCAGCTGCTGCTCCATCTTGATAGTCTAGCACGTCGCTGACACGCTTCCCTATCCTCTCGATGTCGCTTCTCAGCTGCCTCGTCACCGCTGCTCGCTCCTCCTGCGTGAGCTGCGCTCTGCTGCCGCACGCCTTGAGCTTCCTAAAGGCGGTCCCTCGGAGCTCGCGGTGCTGACGCGTGTCCGCCGACCTGCCTCCTCGCTTGTTCGGCTTCTTGGCCTTCTCCGTGGCTGCTTGGCCTCCACTGTCAGAGCGCGGGTCTGACCGCAGCTCTGACTAGCAAGGGGTCCTCTCGGCGCTCGCGTGGATCGGCCCGCCAGCTGCTGAGGGGCTCCTTGAGCTCGCCGGGGTGCGGAGCGGCCCGCGATCCTCAAGCGAGCTCCGCTACCATGCACGCGCACCCACCCCCCTCGCGGAGAAAGGGGGGAGGTGAGGGTCGCTCTTTTCCTCGAGCAACAAAGGGCTGCAGGATTTCCTGGATCCTCCAGGACAGTCTAGATTATATTTTATATAATCATATATCTATGTGAAACTACAAACTTCCTAGCAGACTTGCAAAGGACTGAGCACCAGAAGTGCAAAGGTTGGAATGAACTTCTGACTTTGGGATACACGCGCAGCTGAATTGCAAAGGTTGGTGAGGATGTTGAATTACAGCGGGGTGTGAATCAGGGTTCCCAGGATTAGAAAGTTCGATTTAGAGAAGACTTCGAATCAGAATTGCGAGGATCAGGATGTCGAACTACAGACGACTTTGAATCAGAGTTGCCCTGGCCAGTGAGGATTCGAATAACAATGGAACTGGCTTGGGGCGCAGACGAGACGAGGCTCGAGCTTTTGGCAGGCGCCTCAAGGAAACGGAGCAGCATGACCTGCTCGACTTCGATGAGGACGGTAAGTTTTTTTTCCCGAGGGTGGGAGCCTGTCGGTGGCCCACGGTGCAGTTGGCGCAAGGCCGTACTGTCGTGGCGCTTTTCCGTCGGCGGCGAGGCGGGACGATCCGCTCACGCGTGGCAGCGATGCAGGGGCACCACAGAGCGAATTGGCCGGCATGCAAGGAGGAGGGAAAAGGAAGGGACGGGCGGCCGCGGGGAAAGGGGGAAAGGCCAGCACTGCTGTCGTGGAACAGTAATCTTGTGGATGCCATGACAATGGACACTCTAACAATCCTACAATTGATTTGAAGATGTGTTTAACATGTGTAAACGTGTCCTACAAGTTCTGCACGCATGTTGTAAACATAGTTAAAACATATGTGAAGCATCTTTTAGACATATGGAAATTATTTGGCAGCATGCTTCCTCTCCATTAACCGACTTCCACAACAATGGTCCTCTTCGATGGCCCCCCCCTGGGTTTGTTGCTGAGCTGTCGCACCTCCCTCCGCGGCGTGCGACGCCTCCACCTGCCCCTCCCGCCGCTCAACGACTCAGAGATAGCGCCCTGATGGCTGGGGCCCTGAGATTAGGAGGTGGAGCACTAGGTTTAAGTCGGGCATGTCCCTCAACACGAGGAATACCCACCAAAAATAATCAGGGGGGGATTTGTCGATTGACTTCTTGAGTATGTTCAAACATTTCGTTACCCTTTTTGCTTTTCGTCCAAAAACCGCCTGTAGGGGGACACGTCCGACCTAACACTGGGTCAGCCTTCACGGTTTGAGGATGTCGTCCTTAGGGCCCCATCCTTCAGGGCTCTGTTCTTGTTGTTTGGAAAGCAGTGCCCTTCGAGGCAGAACCACTCCACGTCAGTCCCAACATGCGTGCTACTTTCGCGAAGGACACCGCGAGCGTTTTCTTATTCGGCGTTTCGACACTTGGCGGAAGCGACTGTTTGCAGTAGTGCGCCCGATGGGGGAGACCCCATGGGCTCGAAACAGGCGCCAGAAACAGCCGAAATCTACTCCATGGGGGGTGTCGGGGATGGACAGACCTCCTTTTTAGTAAAACGTGGTTAGTGAAAACGACCTGAGGCCCAAACCTGGCGGGCGTAGGCCTGGGAAATAACGGCCACGGCGCCCTCTCGAGAGCCGAAAACGGACAGTTCACTAATCGACGTGTCACTGTTGGGGGTTCTGTCCACCCCCGAGAGAGGGGGGGATCTGGCTCAGGACCTCTGCTCGATGCGACTGCTTGCGCTAGTGCGCCCGATGGGGGAGACCCCAGGGGCTCGAAACAGGCGCCAGAAACAGCCGAGATCTACTCCATTGAAGGGGCCATGGGACACACAAATAAATACACACTAATAAAAAGATTCCCCATAGTTTCACAGATTTTCTTGGGTTTTGTCTTCCCTCCCACTTCCCATAGTTTCCCATATTTTCTGGGGAATCGACGATTATTTGTGTCTGTGTGTGTTTCTTTCCCTCCTGAAGCAATGAATAAAAAAGACGATCGCGCTCTGGTGGCACATGCTGTCCGCCGCCAGAGCGCCCTCCTGGCAGGGACACCGTCGCGTGGAGAGCCCTGCCAGTGGTGAAGCCAACCGCTGTTCGTTCCTTATCTCGGCGGCCCGCGTCCCTTCCACCCCCTCCACTCCTTTTCCCTATGAACAACTTCTCCCTTCTCCTCTTCCTCCTCCTCCTCCTCTTCCTCCTCCTCTTGCTTCTCCTGCTTCTCTTCCTCCTCCTATTCCTGCTCCATTCCTTCTTCTTGCGTATACATAGCTTCTCCCTGTCGCGCCCCGAGGCCGGTTTTTAGGGCGGGCCGGGCGTTGCGCCTGAGACTCCCTCACCACTGATGACTCTGAAGCTCAAAAGTTGGCATCAGCTTCACAGATAGAGGGTGGGTCGTTTACAGAATGTGGTTATGGCATGAGCGCGGCGCATATTCGTTCTTGAACGTTTGCAAAAGTGCCACGGATTGAGAGTCGGTGGTTTTCAAACTGTGATGTTAGCCTTAGCGCTGCGCACATTCGATGTAAAAACTTGCAAGAGTTTCACGGATTGAGGGCGGGTCGTTTTCAACATGTGGCTCGCCTTACCGCGCTGCGCACTCGTTCAAATATTCCAAGAGATTCGCGGATTGAGGGCGGGTGGTTTCAAAATGTGGGTCTCGCCTTAGCGCGGCGCATATTCGTTGAAAATAATTGCAAGGGTTTCACGGATTGAGGGCGGTTCCTTTTCAAAATGTGGTTATTGCCGTAGCGCGGTGCACATTCGATTTTTTTAAATTGCCAGAGTGTCACGGATTTGGGGTAGGTGGTTTTTAAAATGTGGCTCTCGCCTTAGCGCGGCGAACATTCGTTGTGACAACTTGCAAGAATTTTACGGATTCCCATCATCAGCGTGCCAGAAATTGTGTTTTGAAAGGATTCAGGATAATGCGGGTGCAACAATTATGTTGTTTCCCTGTGTTGAAGTCCCAAGAATGGCGTTCTGGCACGATTCAGGATTGTCAAGACGCAACCGTCAGGCAGATCCGTGGCGTTGAAATCCCAAGAACAATGTCTTGGCATGCTTCAGGGTCTTTGAACGGTTGTCTTCCAAAGAAGCAGCTCCTTCAATGGGAATGAGCCGTTGCATGGGGCCTACGGAGAGGGAGCTTGGAGGGAGGGTTATTCCAGTATCGTTGATGACTCTTGGGCCTACACTGGTCCTCCTCCTCCTCCTGCTCCTCCTCCTCCTCCTCCCACTCATCTTCCTCCTCCTCCTCCTCCTCCCACTCCTCCTCCTTCTCCTCTTCCTCCTCCTCTTCCTCCTCCTCTTCCTCCTCCTCTTCCTCCTCCTCCTCCTCTTCCTCCTACTCCTCCTGCTTCTCCTGCTTCTCCTCCTCCTATTCGTGCTCCATTCCTTCTTCTTGCGTATACATAGCTTCTCCCTCTCGCACGCCGAGAACGGTCGAAAGGAGCGTCGCCTGAGACTTCCTCACCATGTATGAACCTGAAGCTACAAAAAAACAAGGTTTCGCAAATGGAGGGCGGGTTGTTTTCAAAATGTGGCTCTCGCCTTGGCGCCGCGCACATTCGTACTCAACATATGCAAACAATGGTACGGATTGAGGGCGGGTAGTTTTCAAATGTCGTTCTCGCCATAGCGCCACGCATATTCGTTGAAAAACATGCAAAGAGCTTCACGCATGGAGGGCACACGTTTTCAAAAGATGGTTCTCGCCTTAGCGCCGCGCACATTCGTAACACAAATTGCAGGAGCTTCATGGATCGAGGTCGGGCCAATTTCAAAATGTTGCTCTCGCCTTAACGCCTTGCACAATCCTTTGAAATAATTGCAAGAGGTTCACGGATTGAGGGCGGCTCATTTGCCGTGCAAATTCGTTTGAACAATTGCAAAGGATCGTTTCACGGGTTCCCATGGTCCACGTGTCAGACATCGTGTTTCGATTCGACTCAGGATTGCAAGGGTAGAACGATTACATTGATTCGCCGTGTTGAAGTCCCAGGAATGGTGTCTGGGCGCGATTCCGGATCATCAAGACGCACCAATCATGGTGATTCGTGGCGTCGGAGTCCCCAGAATGGTGTTTTGGCGCGCTTCAGGGTCTGCTTCAAACGATTCTCCCAACGAGCCAGTTCCCGCAGTGGAAATGAGCCCTTGTAGGGGCCTATGAGGAGGGAGCTTGGAGGGAGGGTGTATTCCAACATCGTTGATGACTCTTGGGTTTACCCTGGTCCTCCTCCTCCTCCTGCTCCTGCTCCTCCTCCTCCTCCTCTTCCTCCTCCTCCTCCTGCTGCTCCTGCTCCTCCTCCCCTCGCGCTACTCAGCCTTGCGTGCGCCCTCCCACCCAGGCCAGTCGGGTAATCTGGGCAGCCCTCTCCCCGGCGGTGGCAGGCAGCCCTGGTGCGCCACTCGCCGGGACAGGGCCCCTGCAAGGTCCAGCGGAGCCACGCGAACCCCTCATCAGCAAGGGCGCAGCCCTCAGGGCCCCATCTCGGAGCCGAAGCACCACCCTCCCTCCTCGATACAGTAGGGGCCCGACCACAAGAAACCTTCCACAAAACACCGAATCCTAAGACTCCAGGACGTCCACTGATCGTTGGTGTGGGAACGTTACGCTTCCCATAGCAGAACCATCGAAACCCAAGAAACCCATGGCACCCTGGAGGCAAGCAGGGTGCTTCTTGGCATGGGCCTCCACTGTACAGCGCCGCGGCGGTCCGCGACCCTGGCGGCCCCTGGGGGGGGGGGCCGGCGGGTGCAGCCTCGAACTGCAGGCTGTCGCCGACCTCGTAGCCTGCCGACGCCCGTCGCGGAGGAGGGGCGCCGACCCCCACGCCCCGCCGCCCAGCCTGGCAGGGCCCACCCCACGCGGGCCTGCGCCGGCTCGGATCGCGAAGGCGGGTCGGGCCTCGGAAGCAGCTCGGACCGCCAGCGAGCCGTCGCGCAGCGCATCGAAGTCGGGTCGCCGCGCCCGGCCCCGGCTGGCCCTGGCCGGCGCAGACGAGGCGACCCGGATCGAAGCGGAACTACGCGACCCCGGCGGGCGGCTGGCACCCGAAGCGGCGGCCCTGCCAGGGCCAGGAGCGGTGCACACGGCCTCCTGGATGCCGGGCGGGGATGGGCCCGGCCAGGGCCTGCACAGGGTGCGCAGGCAACAGGCTGGCGCCACCCCCAGAAGTCATCGTCATTCGGAAGCTGGGCGAGGGCTGCTGAGACCGTGGCTGCTAAAAACCGGCCCTCCCGGAAGGAAAAAACAACTTCCCGGAATGAGGCGCGGCACGCGAAACAGTCAACGGGCTTCTTTCCGGAAGGACGAAGACAACTGGAGGTCGATTTTAGCAGCCACGGATTTAGCAGCCCTTGCCCGGCTTCCGAGTCAGAGGGCGGCAGCCTTCTGCCTTCTGCGAGGGCGGGGGGGCCTCGGGGAAGCCTCCCCGAACCTGCACAGAAGCCATGCTGTCCTGGGCACATCCGGCCGCGCTGACCCAAAACAACCGACGTCAGGACGGCTGCGCAGCGTGGACCTCCGCAGGTCTGGACTCCTTCCCCGAGACCCTTCTTTCAACCCACAGTGTTGCTCGACGGCTCCGGGACCCGCTGATGCCCCTGGAAGCAGAACATTGCCAAGAACATGCCGCCGCGGTTGGCAGACGGCCACCCCCCTCCTCCGTCCCAGCTGCACTAGAAGCCTCCTAAGGATGGGGATCGAGCGGATGGGGTCAGAGGACTGCACCGCATCGCCGATGCATCACCGATGCAACGGCGAAGAGGCGCGATCCTCCGACCCCATCTGCTCCGACCCCATCTGGCAGGCCTGCTGTACGCGCCACCCACTCGGCGGGAGGCGGGGAGAGCAAGTAACCTTCTGAGGCCCGCGGACCCCCACCACCCGCACACCCCAGGCGGCTCTCTTCGGCGCCGTCCCCGGGCCTCCCTGGGGGGGGGCGGGGAAATGCTCCCGGCGCCAGCGGAGAGACCGTCCGCGGACGACTGGCGTTTCTGCTCTGCGCGCTCGGCCGCCATGCCACGAGGGGGAGGGAGCAGAGATCTGGGGGGAAGAGGACTCGTGGGGCAGATTGGTGGAAGAGGGGGAGCAGGACAATCCTCTGTAGGAGGAACGGGAGCAGAAAAGTATACGGGGGGCACTCTATCCCAGCATCCCTCCCCGCCCCCCCATACTCTTGCCTCCTCCTTTTATCCTCCTCCTCCAGCTCTTTTCTTTCCCATCCATTTTCATATTTAAGACAATCCTCCTTGTCTGACCAGCAGGCGAGCCAGTGAGGCTGGCCAGGCGGTCCGCTGGAGACTTCCTCACACCGCGATGCCCTGAAACTCAAAACTTGCACGCGCAAGCTGATGGATAGGAGGTGGTTGACAAAACGTGGCTCTCGCATTCGCGCCAACAGGCACACGGATGGATGGAGGGTCGCTGTCTAAATGTGGCTCTCGAGTTCGCGCAGCGCGCGCTCGTATGAACAACTACTCAGCTAATATCGGGGTGAAGGGCCGGCGGCGTTCAACATGTGGTTATCGCGCCACCGGCACCACGCGCATTCCTCGCGAATCACATCACAAGAACTTCAAAAGGCGATTATCGCCTGAACGCCGATCACACTCATCTTAAAACAATCTAAGCCGTTACACTGATGCAAGATGGGCCATCATGCAAGCTTTGCTCTTGCATGGGTGCAGAATTCGATTCGTCTTACACACCCTCAACATGCACACAGATAGAATGCAAGCGGCTTTCGTGCCTTAGCCCCATGCGCGTGCATCAAATGCACAGATGGAGGGCGGCTCGTTTTCATCATCTGCCCAAGAATTCTGAGAGTTCTCGGATCGCCAAGCCTGAAATTCCCGACAACAGCATCAGCGAAGGGCAAGCCGCGTTCGAACGTCTGGCTCTCGCCAGAGGCTGTCTTCTATTCCCTGAGGCTGCCTGCATCTTACAACTCAGGCACATTGATAAATCCGGCTCGGGGATCTTCTGACCCGGGTCAATCCAGACCCGGGTCAATCAACCCTTGCAGAATCCTGAAGGATCCTGCAAGATCCTGCACCCAAACCCGGGTCAACGCGAAGGATCCTGCAGGATCCTGCAGGGTCCTGCCCCCAAACCCGGGTCAGTGCGGCCCTGGCCCTGCAGGATCCTGCAAGATCGGGCGCTCTGGCTGACCTCCGTTTGCATTGACCGCCGTCTCTTGAGCCCCGACCGACTTCTAAACTTGTGGATGCCACGACAATTCACACCCTAACAGTCCTATCATTGAATTCAAAATGTGTTTAACATGTCGGAAACATGTTCTAAACATGTCTTGAGCATACTTTTACATGCTGAAAGCACGCTTTATACATGTCCTGGACATCTGGAAATTGTTTGGCAACATGCTTCCTCTCCATGGATCGTCCTCAACAATTTGATCGTGACTTAACGGGGGGGTCATAAACGGGGGGGTCAGAAACGGTCCCCTTTCGTGCCCCTTTCGGGCTCCTCCGGAGCCCCAGGGGGCTCGTTTAGGTACCGTTTGGGTACCTTTTCAGACCACCCTCGCCACCCCCCCATTTACGATCCCCCCATTACGCGACGTCCTCAACAATTCTAAACGGATGTCGGCCGGCCCCTTCTCACAACAGCTCTCGCCCAGGCACGGCGCACCACTCTCTGGACGCCGCTGCCAGCCGCAGGCGCGGATCGGCAGCGCGCCAAGGGGGGGAGCGAGAGTGGGCTTCTCACAAGCCCACCAGCCTTCTGAGAAGCCTCCTCCTCCTCCTCCTCCTCCTCCTCCTCCTCCTCCTCCGCCTCCTCCTCCTCCTCCTCCTCCGCCTCCTCCACCTCCTCCTCCTCCTCCTCCTCCTCCTCCTCCGCCTCCGCCTCCGCCTCCGCCTCCGCCTCCGCCTCCTCCTCCTCCTCTTTCTCCTCCGCCTCAACTCCTCCTCCTCCTCCTCCTCCTCCTCCTCCGCCTCTCGCCTCCGCCTCCGCTCCGCCTCTCCTCCTCCTCCTCTCCTCCCTCCTCCCTCCCTCCGCCCTCCGCCTCCGCCTCCGCCTCCTCCTCCTCCTCCTCCTCCTTCTCCTCCTCCTCCTCCTCCGCTTCCTCCGCCTCCTCCTCCTCCTCCTCCCTCCTCCTCCTCCTCTTCCTCCTCCTCCTTCTCCTCCTCCTCCTCCTCCTCCTCCTCCTCCTCTCCCCCCCCTCCTCCCCCTGTGGTCTCAGGTAAGGTTTGGAAAGCTTCTCAGAAGGCTGGGAACCTTCTTGGCCTTCCGAGACGGCGCGCCCCCTCAGCCCTCCCCCCTGGGGGGTCCGCTGAAGGGACGTCAAAACCCCACTGCTCGAGGCACACACGTCGGGCCTACCATGCAGAGGTCCATATGACGGTCCTCGCCCTTCCCGAAGGCGCTCGCCACAGTGGCAACGGAATGCTCGTGATGCCGCAAAAGGCATGGGGAGGAGACGGGGGACGCGACGGCGCAGTGCAGCAGTGGGCGCCAGGTGTGCTCTTGTCCTGTCCTCCTCCTCCCTGACCTCACAATCCTCCTCCCTCTTCCTCGTCCTCACACAGCCTCCTTCTTTCACTTCGGTTCCCTTGCCTCTCGGTTTCACCCCCCCTTGCCCTCCCTTTACACCCATCGGTCTCACCCTCCACTTTCTGCACTTGCCTCTGCCTCCTGAATGTCCTGCTCCTTCTCATCCTCATCCTCCACGTTCTCCCCCGTCTTCGCCTCATCTTCCTTCCCCTGCTCCTGTTCCTGGGGAAACCAAAGGTACCAAGACAATCCAGCCGTTGCGACGAGAGCCTTCCAGGAGGCCCCAAAAGGCGAAAACCAGGCAAGGGTAGCGGTATGGGTACCTTTTCCTGCTCTGATACTGACCCTCTCTACACAAGTCGTCAAGCCTGGCATGATATCCCTGAAGTTCCAAACGGGGTCCAGCTCGTCAGTGATGACCTGTGGTGAGCCCAGGCCCACCTCCTCGGGATCGTTGTCTTCGTCCTACATGCCCACATTCCTCGCCCTCGTCCTCGTCGTCCTGGTGTTTCCTCGTCTTCGTCGGAATCGTCCCCGTCGTCTGCGTCCTCGTCCTCCCTGTCAACGTTCCCCGCCCCCCGTCGATGATGTCCCACAAGAAAAAGAGGCGGGGGAGAACGAGAATCCGTGACAAAAGAACGGCCTACCCGTGGCCAAGTGAGAACGTCGTCGTCCTGGCCATTCCCCCTTCCAGCAAACAACAAAGTATCCTGGCGAGGGGCACAGCCATGTGCAGCTGCGAGAATCGCGAGACAGGTGAGACTAAAGAGGGGGGCCACGCAACGTGTGAGGGGTGTGCCAACATAGGCGCGGGGGCGCCATGCGAACCCTCCCACTGGGGCCTTCGGCGAAACTCCTTAATGGGACGCGAAGCGCGAGAGAGGTGTCGAAATGGGCGCGACTGCGCGATTCGATCCCTCCCACTGGGGCCTTCGGTAAAGCACCCCATGGGTCATGAAACGTGTGAGGGGAGTTCCGAAATGGGTGCGGCGACGCCATGAATCATCCCGATGGGGCCTTCGGTGGAGCTCCCTGTTGGGCCACACAGCGCGTCAGAGGTGTGCCGAAATTGGCGCGGTGACGCCATGCGAACCATTCCGCTGGGGCCTTCCATGGAGCTCCCTATGGAGCCACGAAACGTCTCAGGGGACTGCCGAAATGGGCGGAGCGGCGCCGTGCGAACCCTTCCACTGGGGCCTTCGGTGGAGCACCCCGAGCCGTGTGAGAGGTGTGCCGAATTTGGCACGGTGGCGCCATGCGAACCCTCGCACCGTCAGTGAACTTCTCCACGAAACGTTTCAAGGGAGTGCCGAAATTGGCGCGGTGGCGCCATGCGAACCCTCCCGCTGGGGCCTTCGGTGGGGCTCCCAATGGGGCCACGAAACGTGTAAGGGGAGTGCCGACAATGGCGCGGTGGCGTCATGCGAACCATCCCAGTGGGGCCTTCGGTGGAGCTCCCATGGGGCCATGAAAGGTGCGAGGGGTGTGCCGAAATGGGTGCTGTGGCGCCATGCGAGCCCTGCCACTGGGGCCGTCGGTGAAGCTCCCTGCGAAATCACGACAACAGCGAGGGGTGTGCCGAAATGAGCGCGCGGAGGACAGCGGCAGGGATGGGGAGGGGGGGAGGGGAGAAAGGGGAGGAGAGGGGAGGGGGGGAGGAGAGGAGGACGCGGGGCGCTGTCCCGTCAAAACGAAAACCCAACACCACAGCATGGCGGGGAAAACGTGAACCACAAACATCAACTCTCGAAGGCCAACGCGGACTCCGTGGGTCGGGGCTGGACCCCCCCCCCTCCCCCGACGGCCGCCGCCGTGACGCACAACGCACAATAGCCTCGGGAGAACTCAGCGCTGAAACTCCCGACTGCGTCCTCGGGCTGGGCCGACATGCTGGGTTCGGGGAGGGGCCAACCGGACAACTAGAAGGCGCACCTCGTGCCCGTTGCTGTCACACGACGCCAGAGTGCAAGGGCCACCTCCCCCTTGGCAGGTGTCCGGAGGTCCCTGGAGACCTCCAGAGGGTCGGTCGAAGCGCATGGCGGCGAGAACAAGGCGAGAAGACCAAGCGGTGAAAGACACGGCAGAATCAGCACCTGCGCCAGCAAGAGGATGCCACTGTCTGGACACCCGCAGGGCACCACCTCCTCCTCCTTCTTCTCCTCCTCCTCCTCCTCCTCCTCCTCCTCCTCATCGTCCCTCCTTCCTCTTCCCTTCTCCCTCCTCACATATCCTCCTCCATCCCTCTTCCTTATAGATATCTCCTCCCATGGGGGTCGCCTGAGACTGCCTCGCCATCTGTGATCCTGGAGATTGCAACTGACAGCAGCTTAACCAAGGGGGGCGGGTCCGTTTCAACATGTGGCTGTGCTGCTCTATCGCCGCGCACGCTCGCAGCAAACATTTGCAACAGTTTCACGAAGGGAGCGCGGGGAGCGCGGCGCACATTCGTCGGAGCGCGAGAGCGAGAAAACTTCACGGGTGGAGGGCGGGCGGGTTTCAAAGCGTGGCTCTCGCCTCTGCGCCGCGCGCTTACGTTCGCAGAGCTGACAGCAGCTTCACGGAAGGAGGGCGGGTGGTTTTCAAAGTGTGGATCTCGCCTTAGCGCCGCGCACATTCGCATGATGAGTTCGCAACAGTTTCAAGGGAGGAGGGCGGTTCCTTTTCAAAGTAGGGTTCTGGCCTCAGCACTGCGCACATGGGTGTTACAAGCTTCAACAGCTTCACATATTCGCATGGTCGAAGTCCCTGGAATGGTTTTCCAGCAGAACTTAGGACTGTCGGGGCGCAACAGTCACGCTGATTCGCGGTGTCGGCGCCCCAATGATGGCATTATGGCACGTCTTAGGATTGTTAGGACGCAACCGTCACGTTGATCCGCGGCGTTGAACGCCCAGGAACGGTGTGATGGCACAATTGACGATTCCCAAACGGTTGTCTTCTAATGGGCCACTTCCCGCAATGGACACACATTCGCTTCGGGATCTATGTAGAGGGAACCTGGAGGATTGATTGCAACAGTGTTGATGCGTCTCGGTTTTCACTGGCCTTCCTCCTCCTCCTCCTCGTCCCCCTACTCCTTATGGCACCTGCACCTATGCCACTGGGCCTCCTTGAAGGAAAACAAGCGGGGGGAGAGAGAAAAATTAGTCGTAGGCTTTCCAAGCCGGCGCCGCGGTGGGAAGGACGGGGTCCTGGGGTCTGGTGGCTGACCCCGCCTGGCCGCGCGCGGCCAGGCGGCGGCAGTCCAGGGTCTCGGGGCTCCGTCACTCCTACCGTGACGGGGATACAACCATCCAATGTCGGGTCGTGGTGGGTGCGGCGAGTAGCACGGTATAGTCCTGTCTGATGTACGCCAGTGTACCTCACTCGGCTCACTTCGGCCACTTGGTCGTCGGAGGCTCATGGATGCGTGCCACCCAGTCCCCCGTGGGCAAAGGGACTGGCGGGGGTGGTTCTGGGCACCGTGTCTACACGGGCCAGGTGACGCGCCTAGTCGTCGCGGGTGTTCCAGGGTCCCGGCCTCATTCAGGCGGAGGCTTGGGTCGGCACCTTTGGGGGGTGTCGCTTTCTAAGCTGAGGTTGCGCAGAGCGACATGATCGCTGCCTTCGGGCCTTCTGAAGTAAGGTGAACTTTCAGCCTTCTTAGGTTTGTGGCCGTACGAAGGTACATACTTGGTGTTGCTGTCGTGTGTGAACGTGTTCGGCCGCGCAGCCGAGCTCCCCCCGCTCTGATTGCGCCAGTTCACAGTAAGACTCCTGTCGTGGCGGTAGTCCTGGTAATCCTCCTCCTCAGCATCCTCATGCGTCCTCCGCAGTCTCCTCACTCCTTCTCCCCCGCTCCCTTCTTTTCCCCCGTCGACCGTGGTTTTCAGACGGCTCTTGCCCAACTTGCCAGGGATGGTGCACAGGCAGTAGGGGTCGGAGTGGGTGATCTCATCCTTGCGAGGTCCACGCGGGGGAGCTGCCGCGCTGAGCATAAGAGAAGGATAAGGAGAATGAGGAGAGAGGCGGCGGAGGATAGGGAGAAATGGGTTTGAGGGGGAGGAAGAGGGAGGGGGAGAGCGAGGGACGGGAGAATAAGATCGAGGGGAGGAGGAGAGGGGAGGGTTTTGGGGGGGAGAGGGGAGGAGGGATGAGAAAGGGAGAAGGCACTGGGAAAGCGGAGGAGGGGGAGCATACCAGGAGAACGAAGAGGAGATCGCGAGGGAGGGAGGCGAGAAGGAGCGGAGGGGGAGCAGCAGGAGGTCAGGAGAGAGAGGGAGAAGACAGGATGAAAAGGGAGGAATGGAGGGAACAAGAACAGCGAGCAGGAGGGAGAAGAGGAGAAAACGAAAAACCACAAGGATGAAAACAAATTCTTCCAGGTCCGCTCTGGATCCCGCCCTTCCCGGTGACCCAAAGCACGTTTGTGAAACGCTAAGCGCGTCTCTCCACCGAAGCCTTTCGGCACACAAGCGCCTCAGTCTGGCTCCTGCTCTTGCCCCTGCCCCTTCCTCATCACAGTCAGTCTCCTCCTGAGCATTGTCCATATCCTCATCAGTACCCACCATCGTCGTTCATGTTCCTATTAAAAAAATAATCCTCACAACAATCATCATCATCATCATCACCACCATCATCATCAGAATCATCATCCGCATCATCATCAGCATCCGCATCTTCATCATCATCTGCACCATCATCAGCAGCATCGTCATCATCATCATCATCAGCATCATCATCTTCACCATCATCTTCATCATCACCATCATCACAACCAGCATCACACTCATCATCGCCATCACCATCACTATTACCATCCTCAGCATCGTCATCATCATCATCAGCATCACCATCATCATCATCAGCAGCAGCAGAATCAACCCAGCATCATCATCATCATCATCACCACCCTGATCAGCATCAGCATCACCCGCATCATGCTCATCAGCAGCATCATCATCATCAACAACATCAGCATCATCATCAGCATCCGCATAAGGATCAGCAGCTGGAGAAGCAGCCGCGTCATCATCATCATCATCACCAGCATCATCCTCAGCATCATCATCAGCATCCGCATCATCCTCCTCGGCATCATCAACATCAGCAGCATCAACATCATCAGTACCACCATTATCGTCATGAAGCTCAGCATGATCAGCAACATGATCATCATCATCATCACCATCATCAGCATCAGCAGGAGCCTCATCATCGGCATCCACTGCAGCATTATTATCAGTATCATCATAATGATCAGCATCATTTTTCATCATCCGCATCCGCACCAACATTAACATCATTATGGTCATCGTCATCAATAGCGTCATCAACACCATCAGCATCCGCAGCACCACCACCATGATAACCATCAGCACCACCACCATCATCATCATCATCATCATCGGCATCATGATCAGTATCGTCAATTCCGTTCTCGTCGCCGTCATCATCAACAACGTCACCATCAGCATCCACAGCCTCATTATCGCCACTATGATCCACATCGTCATCGCCATTGTCATCACCAGAGTCACCAGAATCACCATCACAGTCACCATCATGTCGGAGCGCGCGCGGACGCGCACGGGCCCTTTTCAGCGCATGGGCCAAAGAGGGCTGCAGTCCAACTCTCTCCACTATATGCTACACTGCTGATGCTACCAACCTACCCACATGCTACCTGCCACACTGCATTGCTACATGGGGTCGAAAGCTCCAGTTGGCCACACAACGCATGGGGTCAAGAGCTCCGGTATATGCAATCAGCGAATGCCCTGAACATGCAGGATGCCTCAACACCCCTCCACCATGTAGGCGTCTGTAGCCTCACATGGCCTTCGCTCGTGCTTGTCAGGGCTCTTCGCTAGACCGCATACTAGTGCCGGTGGCTCTCCGGAGCCACGCCTGGAGAAGAGTGGTGCAGTCCACTGTAAAAGTAAAAGGTGGTCGGGCCAGCTGCCCGAGCAGTCCCTGCATCTACCGATGCTCGAAGGTCGCCCCTCTCTGTCGTCGCCACGCGGGAGTTGATCAGACTCCAGCCATGCAGAGACACGCCCAACCCGATCAGGTCAGAAGCGGGTACCTAGGTAGACTACGGTTTGCCGGCGTTGCTGCTTCTGCCGGAAAGGTTCGTTTCTTAGCCTGCTTTGCTGCTGCTTTGTTGGGTGCCTCCCCGGCGCGGCCCCTGAGCCACTGCCGGTGGCCCTCCCTTTCGGTGCCCCTCCCCGGCCCCCTCAGCCACAGGAGGGCCTCCCTGTCCACGCGGCTCTCTGGGCCGCAGCAGGGCCATGCCCGCCGGCACGCACAGCAGCGCAGCGCACGTGGCTGACGCGACTTCAACCACGCTGCTCGTGTTCTCGTCCGGGCCGCGGGTGGCTCACAGGGCCACTCCGTGCCCCGGCCGGGCCCCTGGGTGCATGGGCCTCGGGGCCATGCCAGGCTGCCGCAGCCCACCATCGTAAGCTTTCGCGGCCTTGGGTCAACACTGCTATGAATGCTGTCACGCTTCCAGTGATCAAGCCCTCTCTCAAAGGCTCTCGCCTTCGTAGTGACATCATCTCGAGTAGCTGGTCCAGCCGTGCTTTCGGATGTGCCTTCGTACCGAGGTCTGCCCCGTTGACAAAACCGTCAACCCTGAGCAGCTCCCCGCGCTTCTCTCGGAAGAACTCCTGAACCCACGGGTCCTTCACAGATAAATGGCGCACCTTGCCACTGCCCTGCTGGTTGCAGATGCTCTGGGCAGTCGAAGAGTCGCTCAAAACCGCCAACTTGCACGGCAGACGCGTCATCGCCTCGATGATCTGCGTCGTCTGGGGACCCATGGCCGCGCCCTTGATGATGGCATAAAACTCTGCCTCCCCTGAGCTCAGCGCAAGCAGTGACTGCTTAGACACGCTCATATCCATCAAGTGCTCTCCGAAGCGCTCAACGACACAGGCCATGCTCTTCCTGGTCTCCCTGTCGGCGGCCCAATCAGAATCGCAATTTTCAGAGAGGTGCGCCGGCATCTTCTGGCACGCGAAGATCAAAATGTCGCCGGGGTGATCAAGGAGGTAACGAGCACACCTGTTCAGACGCAGCGCGTGCATCTTGGTAGGCGTCGCCACCCCCTCCATGACCATGCTCGTGGTGAACTTGACACTCGGGACATCCTCTGCTAGGTACCCTGCAAGGTACCGGTCGCTGCGTCGCTGTCCTGAAGAACTGCGCCGGCCCCGTCGCCAGAGGATCTGTGACGTCTCGATCACCTTTCCCGGTGTCCTTCGACGCGGGTGTTGTCATGCCCCGGGACGATCCAGGCTGCGGGCCTTGCAACTCCATCAGGCTGGTGATGTGTTCCAAGTTGCCCCCCCACTCGAATCCGCAACTGGCCCACCGGGTCGTGCGCTTGAGGTGCTTCAGTTCCGTGGCTTGCCCTCCGTGCTCCGGCGGTCCGATACGAGGGAGTATTTGACCTCGAACTGGCGCTGCATGATCTTGTCAAGCTCGTCCAGCGCCTCCTTCTCTGCCTCCGCCTGAAAATCGTCTCGGTGACACCCGAGACTGATGTCCAGCGCATGATGCACGAACACCATCGGCACGACCATGATCATGGCGAAACCCTCACCCACGAAAGCTTTGATCACGCAGCTGCCGAACTGCTTGCTCGCGTCCCGGGCGCCGCACATGGCTTTGCGCAACAGCCACGCGAAGCCTTCCTTCCGCGCGTCAGCTGGCAGGATGACCGCTGTCTTGCCCGTCGACTCTGCGTGAAAGAATGCAACCGAAACGCCGTAGCCTGCCACGAGCCTTGCCCAAGTGCCGTCTGGGCGCTGCTTGGACGCAGCGAGGCTACCGATGATCCTAAACACCTTTACTGGTGGTGTGGATTGCGAGGCGTCCTCTCTGGCGTACGCGTTCACCTCTGTTGCAACCAGGCGCGCTCGCGCTGCCTCCGAATCCGCCTCCACAGGCTCCGGCTCAAGCACCCAGTTGGCGTTGACCACCTTGAGCCCCATCTGCTTGGCATCAGACCAGGAGATATCATGCTTAACTTCGTAAGCATCGGTTTGCCTCATCTCCTTGATCTTGCCTTCGCACACCTTCTGTGGGTCAAGCTTGACACCGGCCTTCGTTGAGAAGTACTCTTTGCTCCAGTCCATGTTGATAGGGACCGCTTTTGGGTCCTCCCCCTCCATGGCTGAGCAGAGGTAGCTAACTGCTGTTCCCACAGCTGCCGCCACCAAGCTGGGCTCGTGCAGCGTTGGCAGTCAAGCGATCATTCTTGACCGCTTCTCCTGTGAACCGTCGCCTGCTTCGTCCATCTCGTGGTCCGGGGCTTCCACGGGAGGTCGCGGCAGCTCCTGCTGCTGCATTGCACGTCTGGCACGTCTTCAGACGCAGGTGCGGCACGGTGTGGTTCCTGAACCACTTCCCCTGCGCCCCCGGGCCTTCCGGGCTCCTGTGGTGCTGGCAGCGGTGCGGGCGGTGCTGGCGCAGGGGCCGCTGCTGGCGGCGCGTGCGCAGCAACTCTCTGACGCCTCTCCTGCGCCTTTTTCTCCACAGCGACTAATCGCGCGAAGCGTTCCCTACAGGCAGGCGCGTGCCTCGCATCACCTGGCGCCTTACATCCGTGGCAGTCAGGCGTTTTGCCTAACCGAATGATGCGGTCCAAAAGTGATGTGCACGTCTCGTGGCCTCGAAGGCCCCTCTGGCAGCTCCCGGGCTGCCAGCGGCACCGGTTCCCAGCGATCCGACGAAAGCGTCTAAGAGCTGCTTGTCCCAGCGTTGCTGCTCCGGCCTGCGCCAGATGCTCCTGCACGTGACCACTCCTCTGGACGCACCAACAAAATGTTCGTCTGCTCTCATGCTCTTCCCGAGCCAGACCCCGAGATGCCACCTGTCGTCTGCCTTCCCCACGGAAGATAGCGGCGACTTGTGGCGCACGCAGTCACCAAACTCCACTATCTCGCCG